CTTTGAAATCAGTTATGTCTGCTGTGGGACAGCATGTTTGTGCTGCAGGGCAGGGAGAAAAGATGGGAGAGGAGCTTATGGTCTGCCCTTGCTTAATGCTTCTTTCAGTCTTTATTACTTCTTTTGGTTCTTCTTTACCCTTCTTCCTTTAATTTTTCTTTGAAGAAATGTATTACTTTGTTTTCCCTTCATATGCTTTTACCTTCCTTTCCTTAGCTGCAATGCTCCTATGTGCTATTTTTTCCAGTGCTAACCTTGAGGAAAGGAAGCTCTCTATTCATTGAGAGCCAAACAGTGGAAGGAAACATGTGCAAGAGTACATGAAATAGTGCTTAATCCTGTTCCTTAAAGATGTTGGAGAAAATCAGGTTGGTGAGAGACATCTGAGAAGTGCAGAACAGCGCGTTGGCAGCCGTGCTCTGAGGAAAAAAGTGTCTTTCAGGAAATGGTGAATAACCTCTAAGCACAGTGATGTAACTGGGAAAGGGAAAGAGTGTGTAACAGAGCAAGCAGAAAACAATAGAAATTGTTGCTGCCAAGGCTGGGGTTTCCTGCATCTTTGAGGATTTTCTGTAAAATCATGGTTTTGAGCAGCTTGAGCTATCTGCACTGAACTTGGAAGCTAAGAAATCTGTGTCTGGCTGGGAGTTGTGTTTCATAGTCACACTGTAGAGATCCAGTGGGGTGTGCAGGGATGGGGAGGGACCCTCAGTGGGTGCCCTCCTTTGTCTTTCAAGCAGATATAATTTCCCAGCAGTTCTTGAGGAGTGTAAGCCTATGGTCAGTGAAACTGACCATTTTTTAACCATAATATAGATCTCCTAGTATCTGATATGATGCTGATAGCCAGGTAAAGTTTGCTAAAATTTACTAAGCCAGGCTACTTCCCCCTGATTTATACTTGTAATCAACTAGGAAGGTACCAGTCCCATTTGAATCTGTTTGCTCTTATATCATTAGCATGCTTCTGTGATTCTAGGTCTCAGGGATGTGGTGGTAACCTGAGGTTCACAGGACATTTAATGCTGTAATCTTATGACAAAGAAATTCCATTACCTGTTTCCTTTATATATTTATATTTCAAGACTGGGCCTTTTCCATCAATCCTGAAGCACATACATTTATGATTAGAGGTATATGTACATGCCATTAAAACTCTTTGTGTCCTTTTTAACAAGTGCAAATAAATACCTTGAAAATACTTTCATTTTGCATACTGAATGATCAAACTCGACACATTTAAATGCCTTCTTTTAGACTAACACTAGGATTTAATGTCCTCGTTAATTCATTCCAACCTCATCCTTCTTGCAGATAGTACCAAGTAATGTGAATTGCATCTACTGACTTCTATGTAAAGATGAATTTAATATTATACAATTCTGAAAACTAGAGAGCTCTGATTCATTTAAAATTGTTCCTAGCTTGATTTCATTTGCATTTGATGTAGTGATTCTGCTCTGCAAGTGTCCTTGCTGGACTTGGTTAGTACTTCTGTTATTCGTAATCTGTATTAATTATCTACTAATTAGTGAAAAACTGCTCTGATGCATGACCTAAACCACTAATTAACTTTTTCAGATTTTGTTTTGTTTTTTCTTAATGGAATTTTATCTGCTGCTAGATTGTGTGGAAGAAGAAAAGTTATTTTTGTAGCAGAAGCAATTAATAGGCCTAGATCGTTTAGGCTTTTCTATCTAACCTGACTAGATCTGTTTGTCTTTAAGCTGTGTTTCAAAGCTTGCATTGTAAAGTGAGCCCTCAAAAAAGGAGTGGTGTTTGTTTGATATCTGAGATGGAGCATTCATCATTATGGTAATAGACTTGTGATTAACTCAGTTTTCAAAAATGTTGTCCAAAACTTTAAAAAAAAAAGGAAAGAAAACAAACATGAAAAGAAAGATTCCTTTTAAGTTTGGGGCACCTGCTTTGCTTAGGTAAGTTATGCAACCTGTAAAGTCAGAGAGAAGGTAACTTAATCAGATAAAATGCTTTAGAAGTAAAGCTTAATTGCAGTGTTTTGTCCCATTCTAAGCTTTGAAAGGAGGTCATGAATGAGATTTAAAGTTACTACTTTTTCTGTTAAACTTGATGTTGATCTGGGCTTAATAGTGCTGGTTAGGCAATCTAAAAATAAAAAGGTTATTTAGCCTTTTCCTAGTTGAAGATAAATACTTATTTTTAAGTTTTCTTGAAATAAGTTTGAGGGAAAAATATTTACAGCATGTGAAAAAGTATGATTCAGTGTTTATCAAGTTATGTTTTATTAATAGAAACAATTCTGTAAACAGATGTTTTAGTGCTTACTTTAAATGAAACAGAATAGTCCTTGTATGGAGTAGGATTTAAGGTCACAAATACTGTAATTGAGGGGGTTTTCTTATTAGGAAAAATAATTAAGTGTGCCTGCCACACCAGTCACAGTAGTTGGATGTGCATGTGCTACTTGCCTTCTGGAAGCATTAAACTCTCTGCTAAAATTCATCTCCTACTAGAGGCATTTTTTCAGCCTCTGGTATCTGGACTGAAAAGTACAGGGATATTGTTATTCTTGAGTACCCCATAGGTCTTACAAGCCTGTATTAATTCAAACTTCAATGTCCTTCAGGAGGAATATGGGAAGTGTATTTTATGTGAGAATAAGCTGCTGCATTTGATTGCCAGGCCATGGATTTCCTGAGCTCAGGTTCAGGGTTGGAGTGGGTGCTAACTTTCAGTGGATCACTTGGGGATGGTCACAGAGCTGGGGTATCTTTCCTGAATAAAGGAAGTCTCTGACAATACTAGCAGCTCAGTCTTATTCTCCCAATAAACTATATTCTATCTGTAGAATGCATCATCTTGTGGGGTGTTTTTGGGGGTGGTTGCCTGTTTGAGGACTGGTGTCAGTCTGAGAAAGGGAGAGCATGAGCTAAATCCTGTTAGAGAGCAGTAACTCACGTGGCTTCTGCTTGTGAGGGTCTGTGTTGTGAGGAGATGAGGCCTCCCCAGTTCTGCACAATGAGATACTACTTGGGGAGGGGAGCAGGTTGGTTTTGTGCTTTGTTGTTTTCATCTTGTTTTTTAAACTTAAGAATGGTAGTTTGACCCCAATTCTAAGTGTGTTAATTTTAAATTTTGGGTAACTTGTTAAACTTGATTGTTTTAAGACTACAGTGAATTGTTCCACTGTATTTTCAACCATAAATCCAAATACACCTTTAATATGGCAATGTAGCTGAATATTTAAAAAATGGATAAACTGGTTTATTCCAAATAAACTACAGTATTAAGAAAAAAAAAGGAATGTTTTCTGTTTCTGGTTTAAGGCACTCACTTTTGTTATACAAGTAAATAAAATGGTGCCATGCTTGCAGCTCTTCAATGAAGCATTTAGATTAGAAAATAAGTGATGGTATTGTGAGACAAGGATATTGCTGTTATTCTCAGGAAAAGGTAGAAGTGAGTAATTTAGCAAATGCTAGTAGCACAAGCATCATATTACTAAATTCACCACAGGGTATAATGAAATTTTTGTCAAATGCAACTGCAGAAGTAATGCCTTTTGTTTCCTTTTGACATGATGATATCTTCTATCAGTATTAACCATTATGTCTCCTATTGGTATTAACCTTTATGCTGTCAGGTCAGTCCTACTCTCCTGTTCATTAGATCATATTTTTGATTTAAACTTTTTATGTACCTTTAAAAAACTTGAGGAAGATGTTATTCTAGAAGTAGTTGGGTCTTATCCAGGCTGTTGTTGCCATATCAAGGAAATAAATTAGGAAAATGAATGCCACATTATTCAAAAATTAATTTATGACTCAAAACAGGCAGTGAAGAAAAGCTTTGACTGATGAAGGAATTAATTTAAATTCTTATTAAAGTAAATAGCTGTTGGTAACATAAGTTAGGAGCTTTGATGTTACACAGTTTTTAATTGATTTGAAGTGGTCATAGGCTTTGCTGTGCTGGATGTAGCTCAGCTTGTACTTCGTAGTTTCATGCATTCCTCTCACCCCCCTCTTATTTTAGGGTTAGCTTTTTCTTTCCTGAAATATGTGGTGGATTGGAGCTGTAGGGTTTACTAACAGGGAGTTTTCCAAGTTCAAGAGAAACACACTTTCTTTTCCTGCAAGTTTGACTTATTGTCTTCCAACTCTATTCAGGCATCTACCATTAGCTTTCCCTTGCTGTCTCTCACCTGCCTGTCCTAGGCTTTGTGGAGTAAATGATACAAGTCTTACACTTATAACTTGGGAACACTTTAGACTACCTTATGCAATCATACACACAATTGTTTTGATTCTTCATTGTTAGTTCTTGCTTCAAAAATATCAGTGAACCCTGCCATTTGTGCTCTTTAAGTGTCGTGGCATGACTGATGTTGCAGGCAGTTGGTGAAATTATTTGTATTTTACTCCCTGAACATTAATGGCTTCAGGAAAGTAGTTGTGAGGCAGTTTTCTGACCTGCAGTTGTCCTGGTGTGGGAGGAATATGTGCAAATCTTGGTAGTCAGCTTAGCCATGGATGTGTGAGGATATGCTTCACAGCACTTCCAGACTTACACAGTCAGGTAACCTTGAAATGTGTTGGTTCTCCATGTCATAAGCTAAAAAAGTATTTAGTTGTTTATTACCTCCTAATTTAGGTTTGAATTAAATTTTTCAGGAAGAATCATCTGATCCTGCCATGCAACTCATTTAAATATTATTGCTATGTTGCTATTTGCTAGAGAATCTGAAAATGAGAGTGCTTAGATAATTTTAATCATATAAAACAGCAAATGTAAGTGTGAAGGGATAATTGGATGAAATAATTTTGTCATTTTAAGATGATTTATTTTACCTGTCAGTGTCTCTTTATAAATGCTCCAGATGGTGGAAATATATTATTACATCTCATTCTCATTTTCAGTCTTTGAAATATAAACACTACTTCTGAAGAATAGCAAATCAAAACAACTGTGATGAGACTTCTTTGTAATGACTGCATTTTTTTTTGTTTTATTTGAAGGTCATTCTGTGAGACTGCTGGGTCAGAAAAAGGATAATGGAAAACGTTTGGGGGGAGCACGACTGGATTTGCCAAAGATTAGGAAGAATCCACTGATAGAAATAATTTCCATCAATACAGGGTAAGAATCTTCCAAATTTACAAAACATTCAGTACTGCAGAAGAATTCCTTTTATGTCTTTCTGCAGGTCTAATGTACTACTCCTAAGCTACACAGAAGGAGGCAGGATGACCCCTTTTAAATAGTTTAAGATGTTAAATTACATTCATTTTGGAAAATAAATCTCTGCTTCTTTGGTTATGAAAAGAAAAGATCATTTATAGGGTTTTTTCCCCTCTGATTTTTTGATTTCTAAGATGGCAGTTCCAGAATATTTTTAGTAACTCATTATGATCTGTAAACATCGTTAAGATCTGTCTGATGTGATTGTCCGCCCAGATTTATTAATGGCTAAATTAGATATAGTTACTTCTGTCTTGCTCCTCTAACCTGTTTGTAAAGAGTCATCATGTATATATTTCATTCTTATATTCATTTGAACAAGCTACTCTCTCCTGTCCATCAACTCTGGATGCCCATTTCCCAGCAAGGCCACAAGCATTTTCTGTTCTGTACTCCTACTTTGAGGAATTCCATTTTAATCTTCCTTCCCTTGTTGCTTTCAAAGGCATTTATCAATGCCAGTTGGTATCCTTCCATTTTGTCAATTTATTAAAAAAAAAAAAAAAAGAAATAAAGCAGCAACAACAAGAATCACAGTCCTCTTCTGATTTTCCTATCTTCTCCAACTTATGTAGTAGTTTCCATGATTGAATTTAAAATGCATTGCTCTGGGCATCCCAGGTAGACGTGTACTTACTGCCTAGAATGAAAAAAAAAAAGTGGTGTATCTCAGGTCTGAGTTTGGATTAGCACACATTTCATAGAGGAGTTCTGATACTGTCTTTATTCTTACTTCCTTGTCTTTTAGTAATGTGGCCTCATAATTGCTGTGAAACCTAGTGTGCTGTTTGGGTCAGAATATCAGTTCAAGGTTTAGTGTGGTTACTTTTTCTTCCTGTGACTTCTGGTAAATATATGGGTGACATTTTGTTGTGTTGCTGAATTGTAATACCTTTTTAAACTGTATTTTTGTTCACAGATTGGTTTTGAAGTCTGGATATAAGCTCTTTGGTGTAGTTACTTCAAGTGTTCTAAATTCTTTACCTTATTTTCTTTGCAATGAACATCTTGTTTTTGCCCATCAAAATCCTCTTCATGGTTAAACAATTTTTTACATTTGCTGAGTCTGACTTTCAGATGGTAAAAATTTTCCTTTTCCACTAATATTTATCACAGTATAATGTTCTAATATCTTTCTGGTTGTAAGTGTTGTATAGGTTGTAAGCTAATTGAGCTATTGTCTTGTTCCTGTCTTTTGATGTATAGTAATGGACTTAAGGTAGGAAAATTAGAAATGCTATTATTTCAAATATCAGATTTTTACTAGCTTAATTACAGAGGTCAGTACAAGGGTGCTGTAGGGTATTAGCTTAGCATTAGCTGACTGATGAGGGTAGCAACCATTTGAAACTTTTAAAAATATATTTTGAACAGATGTATTTTTTTACTGTTTGAAAAACAATTACTTCCCAAATTGATCAAAAGGCAGACTGTTAACATCTCCTAAGAAGTTACTCTCAGAAACCCTTTCCTTTAGAACCTGATAGTTTACAAACAAAAATTACATTGCGTAGTAGTTCTTGCTGTTCTCAGGTCAATTGAATACCTGCTTACTACCATAAGACAATATAAAAAAATATTGGAAGCCACAAAAAGCATATTTGTTTCATTGAGAAAAAAGTAAAATATAACTTGATAAGGCAGAAGCATTCTTAAAGCCTCAAACAAACATGTTAGTTGTATAAGATGCCTAAATTAACTACTATCTCAATCTGTGTTCTATTGCCTGCGTTCCTCTCCTGAAATACAGGTGTTTGGGTTTTCCTGTCTTTTTCTTCCCCTTTCCTTGTCTCCCCAGCTGTGTATCGTAGGTGACTTTTTTGCCCGTAGGTCTGGGTTTGAAAAACAAAGTGTAGCTTTAAAAGGCAGCAGTGTGCAGCAGTTTCTGAAAATATAAAAATGTAATGAACAAAGAAAAAGACACAGACTGTGGTAGTCACGGTGATTTGACTGTGCTAATTTTATCAGCTTTGCCTTAGTAGTCTAGTTATGCTAATTTTCGTACCAACACCACATTGGACCCGAGTTTTCTCTGTGTAGAGACTTGAGGAAACTTTGAAGACTATTTTTTGGTACGGTGATCTTTATTAAGAAGTGAGTTTGGATTTGACTGGGTGGTCTTAAAATAGTCAAAAATACTTTGTTAAAAAGAGCGGTTTCCTCTTTGGAAATATTTTTGTCTGATACTGTTAAATGTTGGGAGCGGCATGAGCAGAGCTTCTCCGTGAGGGAAGCCAAGAACGGAGGTGAGGGTGCCACCAGCACAGGCAGTGCCCACTCCAGCAGGACACCTGGTGCCATGGGGCCTGAGCTGTGTGACAAAGCTGGGGCTGCTAGTAGGAGCCATGAGCAGTCTCAGACATGAAAAATTCCATAAACACAGACTGTGCTGCATTGGAGGGGACCCACAAGGATCATAGAGTCCAAGTCTTCACCCTGCACAGGACAGCCCTAAGAGTCACACCATGTGCCTGGGTGATGAAATGATCACCCACAGCCTGGGTCTGAAGAGTACGAATAACACAGGTCTGAGGAGATGAGTGCAGGACCAGAGGCAAGTGTGGTACTTAAACTCAATCCAGGTCTGGGAACAGAGCCTGAGCTCCACTGGGGCTCCTGGTGCAGAATGGGCTGTGGAGGCAGCAGCTGAGGCTGGGCAGGTCAGCGAGGGCCTGGGGGTGCCCACGGGGCTGTGACAGGTGGTGCTGAATTACCATTTCCAGCTGGGGTTTTAATGAAACCTTGGCCTCTTCTGTAATTCTGTGGGGGAAGAAAAGGCTTATTGGAGCATGTATATTCCCTCCTCCCCAAAGCACCGGAGTCTTCAATGGCTCACATTAACCCCTTTCCTTCTCCAGTAGGATGAATTCCTTTATGTGCATGGACATCTGCCAGCTGGAACTATTCTTCTGAGGGTTCAGAAAGACCACTTAATTTTTGGGAGTCTCCAGAAATGCTGATTGTTAAGACATCTCTCATCTGTGTCTTTGTTTCTTAACTCAAGATGATGTCAAATTTGATAATTTTGACTTGAGATTTCTTTTATTGAGTCCTCCTTCTCTCTGAAATGGAGGAAGAAAAATTGCCTGGCCCAAAGATTTCTGTCCTTGTATAGTAGCTGTGAACTTTTTCTGTACTTGTCCAAGCACAAATGCATGCCTGCATATGCACGTGTCCCTCTGTGTTTGTATTGCCCAGACTGCTGCTGTACATGAGTGTCCTCAGCTGTTTGCATAAATCATATCTGTCCTATCAAGGGACACACGTACTGTCCACTGCACTGTGCAGTCTGTAATAATTATAATTAAAAATAAACCAAAACAAAACCCCACTAGGAATGGAGTATCTGTGAAGAGCGGGTACTCTTCTGTCAGTTGTGAGCCAGCTCAGAGGTTTTACACAGTGGCATTTTTGTCCCTAAAAAGGTGTTGCTCTGCCTTTACAGGGACCTGTGTCTTTTTCAGTGTTTGGCACTTTTTTATTTAATTCTTTTTTTTTTTAAAGTAATGGACAGTTTTTTCCTGCTGCTAATTTTGATTGTCCTGAGGGTTGTTGTTTTCTTATTGAGAAATCCAACCTATTTGTTTAATTTACCATGACAGTTGGTGGTTTCTGTCAACAGACTGTGACTCTAGAGAAAAGCTCCAATCCCAGGAATGACATGTTTCAGAGTTTCCAAGTATGTATGCAGAGACTAATGGTGAGTTACTGGAATAGAGGCACAGGAGATTTACCAGACTTCTCTGACATGCAAAGATATGTTAGTGACTCTTCATTTTTCCATCTGCAGATGTGTAAGAAGGCCTTACCATCCCAGTATCCCATGCAAGCGCTAGATGGCCTCTGTAATTTCTCCCTAAGAAATAAGTGACCTTTTCTTCCTGTATGGTTTGCCTTGTCTGTTATTATTTAGAAAACACTTCGCAATATTTTTCAAATAATTTTTTTTTCTATAAAATAGGCAGTCAAAAACCAGGGATTGTCACAGTGCCCAGATAGCTTTCTTAATCTTAGTATGTCCCACAGTGATATTAGTAGATCTGAACCTAGAAACAGAAAATTGTTCCGGTACTCCAAAATAATTCTCTGCTTTGGATTAAGGCATTTGGTTAAATCTCTTCCACTTTTATTTATGTCATAAGCATGTATTGCACAGGTCATCATCTTACTGGAACAAGCCAGGTAATAGTAGTAGAAAAGCATGTTAAATGCTGTTTGGAGAAAAGGCATAAATTTTTAAATTATTGCTAATGTGATTATTCTGTTACTTTGAAGTAAGAAAGAGAAATGTTCTCAAGTTCATTTTGTATTACAGCTTCATTTAGGTTTATGGAAAAATCTTTTTCTCCTTGGGTCGTCTCTTCATTAGTGCCAGTTTCAGAACCCATGTAGCCACCTAGACAGCTCTCTTTAATGGGATCAGGACTTGGTTTTCCACATGTTAATTAATATCTGTATCTGCTTTGTAGCTTGGACCATTACTCATGTATCTTTGTTGTTGGTATTACTTGAACTTCGTTATCAACACTCACATACATTCAAATATGACTTTATTTGTGCTTTTTCTGGGTGCCCTGGGAAGCATGAGAAGAGTGTAATAATCACCTGAAAATGAGCCCACACTAGAATTTACTGATGGGTAGATTTGCACGTAGGTCTCTTGAAGTGCTTTCTGTATTCTTTTTGAAGTTTCTACCTCTCCTAATGGATCAGGCAAGTAACTACACTGCTCATATGACTGGCTAGAGAAGAATTAAAATATACTGAACAGGGAATTCAGAACGAAAAGGAGCATAGCAATGTACATGCATCTGTTGGACTAGATTATTCCTGCAGTGCGGGAGCATCTTAGAGGAGACCAACGTGTTACTTGATTTCAGAAAGATTTTCAGATCTGC